TTTTTTTTGGTGAAGATTCTAACTCTTTGTCGACCTACCAGTAGAATAGCCGCTTTTCTTCGGCATGAGGTCATATTTTGCCATAGCTTCGCAGCCAAGTACGACAGGAAGCCACTCTTTGAAAATGACATGTTGGATCTTTGCGATGTTGATCCTTCGCGCTTCCTCAAACAAAATACTCAGGTTTGGAAACTCAGAAAAGTTTTTTTTCTTTACTTGGAATAGCTGCTCATCTGTCCAGAAATTGTTAATCCTTCGTAACTGAGAAGCTATCCGATTATGTTCTCTCAACAGCAATGTGTGTATGACGGTAAGTCCAGGCTGTTCGTTACTACGTTCGTCACCAGCCACAAAACAGCTGAAAATCGTATGCTTAGAACTGATCCTTACAACAGAAAGAAGCGCTGACCGTTTTTCCGGGGATAGAAGTGTCGAGCGACAGTCTCTTTCTTGATTTCCTTGAGGTAAAGCCTCTTTGTTGAATCTGGAAGAATGGAAACTATGTAGAAAAACTATGTACTAGCGACATTTGAAAGGCACAAGCTCTAGGTAGTATTGTCTTGCTTTGAATGATAACAAGAAAAGAATGAAGAAAAGAGTGCGATAGAGAGCAAGCGTTATATAAATATGTCCCTAATGAAAGCTGCTGATTATATAACCACACTTTTCTTTCGATAATTGTGGAATGTTTAAATTTGGATGAAAATTGGTAAAATCTTTTTCATGTATGTAGGAAAATCAGACTACTAAGTTTCAAAAAAAGTTCCCGGACAGTTTTGGATTTTCCACCTTCCTACTCGATTTTCTCGCACTCGGTTGAGCACTCAAATGTTAAACTTTTTTTTATAGAAAAACACAGAACAAACTCAAGTTTTATAATGCTTTTTTATAGATGTCAAATATGCCCACTTCACAAACTAAGAAATAAAATGTTTTCAGCGATGAAAATTTCACAACTTTTCTTTGCTACCAGCTTTTTGCACTGACAAAGTGAGGCCTTTTCTTATATTTCGTAACGTCTCGGTCCAACTCTAACAAAAATTGTTTGTAGGGTCTTGTAGAAGTCTCTGGTACTCAAAAACACTTCGATTTGTGCT